GAGGAGGAGGAGGAGGAGGAGGAAGAGGAGGAAGAGGGGGTGGAGGATGAACGAGGAGTGCGCAGCGCGGAGCGAGGAGCGATGATGAGGAGCGAGAAGGAATACCAAGGAGGAGAAGGAGGAGGAGGAGGAGGAGGAGGAGGAGGAGGAGGAGGAGGAGGAGGAGAAGGAGGGAGGAGGAGGGGAGGAGGGTAGGGAGGAGGAGCAGGAGGAGGAGGAGGATGAGGAGCTGGAGGAGAGGGAGGAGGAGGTGGAGGAGGAGGAGGAGGAGGAGCGGGAGGAGCGAGGAGCGAGGTGAAGGTGGTGGAGGAGGTGGAGGAGGAGGAAGAGGAGGATGGAGGAGGACGAGGAGGAGGGGAGGATGGGGGAGTGGTGAGGAGGGAGGAGGGGGGAGGAGGAGGATGATGAGGGGGAGGAGGTGGAGGAGGGGGAGGAGGAGGAGGAGGAGGAGGAGGATGAGGACCAGTGCAACCCCAATACCAATCAACGATGTTAACATGCATCCTCCCTTCAAGTTTTCTCTTCATGGGCCCCTGCAAGGTTTCATTCCACAGGGGGAAGTGCTCCGTTGGAGGACAACCGTGTGAAAATCTTGACGCGTGCCACGACACTTATGTAGGACTTCAACGCCACGAGTCAACCTTACTGTTGCGTCTTGACTATCTTGATTTGTGCCAGAACACCTTTCCAAGGACTTCAACACCGCAAATCAACGTAACTGTTGCGCCCTGCCAATCCTGAATCGCTCCAATACACCATTTCTGGAGTGTTAACCGCGAGGACCAGCGAGACTAGGACACATGTTGAAGCGAGTGTGCGCGGCGGTGAGGCGGCAGCCGCATTTTCAAAACGAGCCCTCAATCCGTCAGACTCTTGCAACTTCTTAGAACACGACTGTGCGCGGCGTTATGGCGGGGACCACATGTAACCAATGTGCGCGGCGCCAAGGCGACATCCACATGTTGGAAAGAGCGTGTTCTACCGCTGCTGGCGGAAAACCAGGGGGGAGTCACTACCGGTTCGAACCTCTCCCCCCCCCCCCCTCCGGAAAACCGGGGGGGTCACTACCGGTTCGAACCCCTCCCCCCCCCCAGTTCATCATGAAAAGGGGGGGGGATCACTACCCGTTCGAACCCCCCCCCCCTCGAACTCGAAAACCGGGGGGGGGTCACTACCGGTTCGAACCCCCCCACCTCCCCCCCCCGTCGAAAACCGATGGGGGGTGCGGACAGTGGTGGGGACGGTGGTGGTGGGGACAGTGGTGAGGGGACAGCGGGACAGCGGTGGGGACAGTGGGACAGTGGTGGGGACGGTAGTGGTGGGGGCAATGGTGGGGACAATGGTGGGAACAGTGGGGACAGTGGGACAGTGGTGGGGACGGTGGTGGTGGGGACAGTGTTGTGGGGACAGTGGGAATGTGGTGGAAACAGTAGGACAGTGGAGGGTACAGTGGTGGTGGGGACAGTGGTGAAGGCGGTGGCGAGGACGGCGGTGGGACAATTGGACAGAGGTGCAGTGGGGACAGTGGTGGGGACAGTGGGGACAGTGGTGGGAACAGTGGGACAGCTTAGTGGCACAGCGGACGAGTCAGTGGGACAGCGGGGACAGTGGGGATAGTCAGGCAATGGTTGGGGCCGTGGAGAAAGTTGGGAGAGTGGAGCCGTGGTGGGAACAGTGGTGGGGACAGTGGGGACAGTGCGACAGTGGTGGTGGCACTGCTGGTGGGGACAGTGGAGCGGTGGTGGAACCAGTGGGGACAGTGGTGGTGGGGACAGTGGTGCTGGGAACAACAGTGGGGGATGTGGTGAGGACGAGGACGGTGGTAGGGACCGGGAGTCGTTTGCTGGCGGTGAGAGGGATGGGTGGGGAGGGGTTCGAACCGGTAGTGACCCCCCCTTCCGGTTTTCGAGGGGGAGGTGGGGGGGTTCGAACCGGTAGTGACCCCCCTCGGTTTTCGAGGGGGACGGGGGGGGGGGTAGGGGAGGGGGGGGGTTTTGCCAGGGGAACGGGGGGGGGAGGGGTTCCAGCAGAAGGGGGGGGATTTTCGGAGGGGGGGAGACCCCGGGGCTCCGGAGGAAAAGTGCGGCAAGTTTCCACAGTAAAGCGGCGGTGGATCACGCTCTCTCACATGTTGTAATCGACTTGTCCTAAATTCGCGAAGCTCGTGCACATGTTTAAGACGAGTGTGCGCGGCGCGAAGGCGAGAGCTACATTTTGAAAACGACCTGCCTCAATCTGTCAAGCTCTGGCACAATTTTAAGACGAGTGTGCGCGGCGCTCAGGCGACAGCCACATTTTGAAAACGACCTTTCCTCAGTCTGTCAAGCTCTGGCACCTTCAGACGAGTGTGCGAGGCGCTAAGGCGAGAGCCACATTCTGAAAGCTACCCGTCCTCCATGTGTGCGAAATTGTCGCAAGCTTGTACGCTATAGCCCCATCAGTGGTAATGAAGTCTCAAACGAAACGCGCGGCCCGCCCTTTCGACTGCCCTCGGAGTGCGACAGGGAGGAGGTATTCATAAGGACAATGAATGGAAGGAGAGGTGGAGGAAGAGGAGGAGGTAGAGCATCGAGGAGCAGGATGAAGATGATGATGAGGATGAGGAGGAGCATGAAAATGTAGATGATGACGCTGATGCTGATGATGATGGTGATGTTGATGATGATGCTGATGCTGATGATGACTGTGATGCTGGTGGTGATGATGCTGCTGCTGATGATGATGCTAGTGTTGGTCATACTGATACTGATGCTGATGACGATGACGATGCAGACGACGACGATGCTGATGCTGACGATGCTAATGATGACGATGGTGATGATTAAAATAACGATGTTTTTGATGATCATGATAGCGATGTTGATGATGATGATTATGATGATGGTGGTGATGATGATGCTGATGATGATGACGATGATGATGATGATGATGATGATGATGATTATGATGATGATGATGATGAGGATGATGATGACGATGATGATGATGATTATGATGATGATGATGACGATGATGATGATGATGGTGATGGTGATGGTGATGATGATGATGATGATGATGATGATGATGATGATGATGATGATGATGATGATGATGGTGGTGGTGATGATGATGATGATGGTGATGGTGATGATGATGATGACGATGATGATGATGCTGCTGATGATGATGATGATGATGCTGATGCTGGTGCTGCTTAAGCATAGGGTAAAATAGTGATAATAGTACGAACAAAACTATTACTATTATCAATAAACGTAACACCAACATCATTAATACCTCTCATCATCGTGCTACTCATCATGATATTAATAATACTAAGGCTAATGCTACGAATTGTGGTGCTGATGATGGTACAACAAATTTTTACAGTACTAATACGGGTCGAAAGAATACTGCTATCACCACTCGTAGGACTAATAATGCAACAACGAACACTAAACTTAAGCCCCGGTCGGGGGTCTTCTGGGGTCCGCCTGTCCCCCTGACCCGCACGAGGCCCGCTTGAAGCGCCTAGAGAGCCGCCTGGAGGCTCCCCCCTCGGCACGTGCAGTTTTGGTTGTTCCCGAGACTTGGCACTCCTGTCTCGGGAAGGCTCCGGAATTCGTTTCATCAGGACACAGAGGACACAGAGGAGGAGGAGGTGGAAGAGGAGGAGGAGGAGGAGGAAGAGGAGGAGGAGGAAGAGGATGATGATGATGAGGAGGAGGAGGAGGAGGAGGAGGAGGAGGAGGGTCTGAGCCCCTGGACGTCTTTGGCGCACTCGTTTCGGCCTGCGTGGGAGGCCCCAGGAGGCTCCAGGAGGCCTCTCAGGACGGTGGAGGATTCAGGCTCTTTGGCGCTTCTGGCCTTGCTCAGGGCTCCAGGGCTGCATCTCTCCCCGCGCGCGGGGGGCGACGCCGTGGCTCGCGGGTGGGGGGGCGGGGGGAAGGCAGGCCAGGCACGGGGCAGTCGGTTGGCAACTGGCGCCCCCAGCTCGTCCTCCAGCTCGGCCTCCAGCTCCGCCTCCAGCTCCGCCTCCAGTTCCGCGTCCAGCTCCTCCTCCATTTTTCCTTATTAGTCTAGTCTCCCTCCCCTCTAGCCTGCCCCGCCCTCCGCCTTCCTCGTCCTTCTCGCCTCCTCCCGCCCCCCTTTCCCCACCCCGTCTCTCCTCTCACCTCCCTCCTCGCATCGCTCCCCCCGTCCTCTCTCCATTCCGCCCTTCCCCCCTACCTCCCTCCCCCCTTCCTCCCCGATGCGACGAACACTCAGGATGTTGGCGCCAAAGAGGGGTTGTCAGGGAGGCGTCCCCCCCCTCCCTCTGTGCTGCTGCCCCCTCCAGCTCCCGCCGGCTTCTCCTCGCCGCCGCGCTGCCTTTTTCTGAGCTCGAGTCCCTTTGACCTGCCGGCGAAAGCCCCGAGACAGCAAGACACCGTCGTCTCTCCGCAGCCATGGCGGCGCCTGTCGCGCTCGTGTGCACCCGGTGCCGCAGGGCGGGCCACGCGGCCAAGGACTGCCAGGTCCTGAGCTTCACGCGCAGGACGCCGGCCGAGCTCCGAGCAGAGCGGCTGGCGAAGCGCGCCGAGTGGGAGGAGAGGCAGGCCGAGAGGCAGGCGAGGCGTGCCGAGTGGGAGGAGAAGCAGGAGAGGTGGCACTCGAGGCAGGCGCAGCGCGAGAAGGAGCAGGAGAGGTGGGAGCTGTGCAGCCAGGCCACGGACGCCTCCACGGCGGCGACGACCGCGGCGATGACGCCCGAGGACGAAGAGGAGGTCGAGCGCCGCGTGGCCGCGGACAGGGCCGTGCGGCGGCACGAGAAGGCGCTGCGCGAAATCGCCAGGCTGGAGGGCCGCGGCGACCTCGACGCGCTGCAGAGGGCCAAGCTGCAGCGCCGGCCCGAGGTGGAGGCCGAGCTGTCGACCGCCAGGGGGCTCGCGGGGGCCCTGGCCCGGAACGAGCTGCGGCGGGCCGCCCGGGCGCGAGTGCAGTGGGGCCGCCAGCCGCCGGCGCGCGGCGGGCGCCGTTAAATGCCTTCCTTTCTGGTGCAGCCAGGGAGCGTGTGTGCGTTTGCGGTTTGCCTCCCGGTGCGCCTTCGGCCGGCCTCGGGCGCAGGCAGAGGCGCGCTCCGCCTCGTGCAGGAGCTCTTCTTCCTGCCGCCAGCGGCTAGCGCATACTGTGCGCTAGCGCATACTGTGTGTGTGTGTGAAGTCAGCTGTTCGAGGTCTCGTCTGCGATATTTCCACAGCCGCCAGGTTGCACAGTGTACAGACACGGCGGCCGATCGCTGCGAGTCCGCCGACGAAAGCGCGCCCAGCCTACCTCGCGCCGTCCTCACGGCTGCCTGCACAGATTTGGCGCGTCGGGTGCTCGTTGCGAGTGGCAGGAAAGAGGCAATCCCTGGCGCTTCGCGCATCCCCGTCAGCCCATCCCGAAAGCCACCCCGTCGTCTTGGGAGGGGAAGCGGAGGATCATGACCTTCCCGGTGTCAAGGGTGTTTGTGTTTTTGGCGTGCGAGGGTTTCTTCAGGAACCTCATAGATTTCGCAGGATTCCAGAGGATTCGTGAGGACCTCGAGGGACTGGTACATCGGAGGTTGAGGGGTGAGATCGCAGTGGAACGGAGAGCCCCAAGCGTTTCGTTTCCTTCGTGTCGTGCGTGCGGGCGAGGCGAGGCTGCTTGCGCGCGCGAGAGGAATGAACCCGCTGTTGCTAGGGCGAAGTCAAGACAAATGATTATCCTCCGTTCGCCCGTCCGTCCGGCGGTGGCCCTAGCGGTGTCCCGCGGTGTCCCGTGGCGTCCCGTGGTGTCCCGTGGTGTCCGCCGTTGCTAGGGCGAAGTCATGACAAATGATTTTCCCCCGCCCGCGCGTCCGCCCATCCGTCCGGCGGTGGCTCGCGGTGTCCCGCGGTGTCCCGCGGTGTCCCGTGGTGTTCCGTGGTGTCCCCTGGTGTCCCGTGGCGTCCCGTGGTGTCCCGTTGAGTGAGATCGATACTGAGATCGATAGTGAGATCGATAAGATCGATAGTGAAATCGATGCTGAGATCGATGTGGCGCCCCGTGGTGTCCCGTGGTGTCCCCTGGTGTCCCCAAAAGTGAGATCGAGAGTGAGATCGATCGTGGAATCGACAGGTGTCCCGAATTGTCCCGTGGTGTCCCGTGGTGTCCCGTTGAGTGAGATCGATAGTGAGATCGATAGTGAGATCGATAGTGAGATCGATGTTGTGCCCCGTGGTGTCCCTTGGTGTCCCGTTGAGTGAGATCGATAGTGAGATCGACATGTATCCCGTGGTGTCCCGTGGTGTCCCGTGGTGTGAGATCGATAGTGAGATTGATGTGGTGTCCCGAGTAGTCCCGTGGTGTCCCGTGGTGTCCCGTGGTGTCCCGTTGAGTGAGATTGATAGTGAGATCGATAGTGAGACCGATAGTGAGATCAAGAGGTGTCCCGTGGTGTCCCCTAGTGTCCCGTGATGGCCTGTGGTGTCTCGTGGTGTCCCGTTGAGTGAGATCGAGAGTGAGATCGATAGTGAGATCGACAAGTGTCCCGTGGTGTCCCGTGGTGTCCCGTGGTGTCTCGGTGAGTGAGATCGATAGTGGGATCGATTGAGTCAGATGTTGGTTCCCCCCCTCTCCCCCCCCCCCACAACCTTCTTATCACCCGAAGGGTGGTCGTATAGGTACGTTTGATGGTCCTTGAAGACCTCCGAGGATTCTTACAGAGCCCCAAGGACCTCTGAAGATCCCTCAGGATCCTTCAGCGTTCCCAGGAATCTTCACGATTCCCCAGGATTCTCCCGATTCCTCAGGGGTCCTCAGGTTTCATGAGAGTTCCTCAGGATTCCTCAGGGTTCGCCAGGAATCCTTCGGGTTCTGCAGCAGGGCTTTTCAGGATTATCTCGGAGTTCCTATGGATTCTCCAGAAATCCTTAGGATTCCCATGTATTCTTGTTCTAAGGATCCTTGAGGATCCCCGAGGATTCCAGAGGCCGAAGGATTCCTGACGATTTCTGCGTGTTCCTAAAGATTCCCAAGACTCCTTAGGATTTCCAAGGTCCGGAGGATTCCTACGGATTCCCATGGGTTCTTGAGGATTCCGAATGGTGCTTGAGGATCCCTGAGGATTCATGGATTCGGAATGATTCCTGGCATCCTTAAAAAAGAAGGATTGCTCGGGACTGTGCAGAAATCCTTTGGAATCGCAGAGACTTCCTCAGGAGTCCTCGGGTTCATGTGGATTCCCATCGATTCCTACGGATTCCAGAGGGTTCATGAGAGTTCGTATGAATTCCCGCGGATCTCTGAGGATTCCTTTGGTTTCTGGAGGATTCCCAGGGACTCCTGGAACTTCCCGAGGATCCCTGATGATTCCTGAACAGGAGTCTCCCAGGAAGACAGCTGTCATGCTATGTGTGTGTAGGCGCAGAGCCAGACCTGTGAACCGATCATGGCTGTTTGGTTGCCAGTTGCCGTGGGTGAGAAGAGTTGCTGAGGACCGGGGCCCTGGGTCCGTGGTCGTCTCTTGAGGACAGCCGCGGCAGGTGTGGCACAGCGGACGGGCCACGAGGTCCAGTGTCGACCTAACTGGTGGAGTTCTCTAGCTTCAGGACTGTCATTTGTGAGGACGTCCCAATGGCCTGCGGACACGTCTGGTGGTAAGACAAAAGGGACTTTCTGAAGGCGAATGGTGGAGGAGGAGGATGAGGAGCAGGAGGACCGAGGGCCGAGGGCCGAGGACCGAGGACCGAGGACCGAGGACCGAGCACCTAGCACCGAGGAGCGAGGAGCGAGGAGCGAAGAGGAGGAGGAGGAGGAGGAGGAGGAGGAGGAGGAGGAGGAGGAGGAGGGAGGAGGAGGAGGAGGAGGAGGAGGAGGAGGAGGAGGAGAGGAGGAGGAGGAGGAGGAGGAGAGGGAGGAGGATGAGGAGGAGGAGGAGGAGGAGGAGGAGGAGGAGGAGGAGGAGGAGGAGGAGGAAGGGAGGAGGAGAGGAGGAGGAAGAGGAGGAGGAGGAGGAGGAGGAGGAGGAGGAGGAGGAGGAGGAGGAGGAGGAAGAGGACGAGGACGAGGACGAGGAGGAGGAGGAGGAGGAGGAGGAGGAGGAGGAAGCGGAGGGGAGGCGGAGGCGGAGGCGGAGGTGGAGGCGGAGGCGGAGGCGGAGGCGGAGGAGGATGAGGAGGAGGAGGGAGGAGGGGGAGGGGAGGGGGAGGGGGGCAGGGGGAGGAGGGGAGGGGGAGGGGGAGGGGGAGGAGGGTGAGGAGGAGGAGGAGGAGGAGGAATAGTATTAATACTGATCATCATCTTTGTACTACTAAGAAGCAGAAGCAGAAGGTGAATACATAGAAAAAGAAGAAGGCGACGACGACGACGCCGACAGGATTCAACCACCAAGGCCTTCGTGGAAATTTTGCTCTGGGAGCCTATTGAAGGTCTTGCCCTCTTAGGACCATCCGCTTGGGGAGCTTTCATAACCCTCCTGTGGGTCTCTTTGGGCCCTCTCTTGGCCCCACCCTGGAGACCATCGATCGAACATTGAAGGTCACCCAGTAAGGTCCCCTCTCTGGAGCCTGAAACATCGTCGTGGTCGTCATCGTCGTCGTCCTTGTCGTCGTCGGCATCGTCGTCGTCGTCGTCGTCGTCGGCCAGCGTCGTCGTCGGTGTCGTTGCGGGGGTGGGTTGGGGGGGCTTTTGACTAGGGGGGGAACAAGGGGGGCGTAGCTTGCAGGGTTCGCAGGGGTCGAACAGGGAAAGGAGGGGAAGGGGAGGGGGCTTCCATCAGAGGTGCTCAAGGGGGGAGGTGTGTCGCTCCTGGAGCTCAAAAAGGGGGAGGAGGGGGGGCTTCTAGTTGGGGTGGTCAGAGGAGGGGGGGAAAGGGGGCAACTAGTCTGCAGAGGCTGCGGGAGAAAGGGGGGAAGGGGGGGAGGAGGAGGAGGAGGAGGGAAGCTCTTGGGAGCCTCTTGGGGTACTTTTGGAACTTTCATGCAGCTTCCTGATGGCGCCTCTTGGAGGCCTCTTGTGAGCCGTTGGGGGCTTCTTGGGAGCCTCTTTGGCCGTCTGAGGGCGTTCCTGGCCCGTCCGACGCCGTCGGACGCCGTCTTGGGGGCTTCTCTGAACCGACTTAGGGCCTTGTTGAGGCACTTCAGGGCGGTCTTGGAGACGATTTGAGGCGTCTTGGGGGCCTCTTGGGCCCTCTTGGGGCCGTTTTGCGGGCCTCTTGGGCCGTAGTAGGGACATTTTGGAGGCCTCTTGGATGATCTTGGGGCGACCTTGGGGGCTTCTTGGGCCGTTTCGGGCGGTCGGAAGGCCGAAGAGTCGTTAATCTATGAATCTCTCAAACGCCGAAAGAACATCTGAGATTTTGCCTCTTCAGGTCTTCCTGCATACCCTTTTGAAGGCCTCTTGGGCCGTCTTGGATGCTGCTTGGGGGCCTCCTGGGCCGTCTTGGGCCATGTTGAGGCCATCTTAGGCCGTCCGGGGTGCATCTTGGGCCGTCTTGGAGGCCTCCTGGGGCTATCTTTTCTGTCCTGGAGGCCGTCTTGGTCGTCTTGGAGGTATCCTGGAGGTCATCTTGGGCCATCTTGGCGGTCCTGGAGGCGATTCGGCATTTGTTCGGCGGACTACGCGGCCTATCGGGTGGCAGGTGCAACGGGCCGAAGCCCCCGGGGGTGATTTTTTTGGTCGGGGGGGGGGAAAGCCCGAACCAAAAGCCGTAAGGAATTCAGCACGCCAGGCACCCCTGTGGCAAGACCACAGGGGGCGGCGGGCCTGGTGGCCATCGACCCATCCCGCCACAGTACCTGGGTTGTGGGTCAGTAGCCTCTTGGATGCTTGTTGGGGTCTCCTGGGACGCCCCTGGGGGTCTCTCGGGGGCAGTTTTGAAGCCTCATGGGTGCCGTTGGGGGGCCCCTTGGGGCTTCTTCTGGGCCTCTTGGGGGCCAAGAGGTCTTTTGGGGACTTCTTGGGGGCTTGCTGGCGATCTCGGGGGCCCCCTTTGGGCGGAGGGCTCGAAATCTCAGCTCGAGTCCCCCATGTTGGGCCCATCTTTGGGCCCTCTTGGGGCCCTCTTGGACCGTCTTGGGCGCCTTTTGTGCCGTCTCTGGGCCCTCTTGAGCCGTCTTTGGGCCCTCAAGGGGGCCTCTTGGCCGTCTTGGGGCGATCTTGGGGGTTTCCTGGACCGTCTTGGAAGCTGTGAAAACCCAAGAGGCGAATATGTTGAAAATGAGCGTTGTCCGCAGGGAATGGGGCTACTTTTGTCTTTTAGGGTGCTCCTGGGGCCCTCTTGAGGCGTCTTGTGGGCTCCTTAGGCCGTCTTGGGGCCACACTGGGCCGACTTGAAGCTGTCTTGGACCGCTCTCTGGCCTCATTTGGCCATCCCAAGCGGTTCTTGAGACGCTCTCGAGGGTTTGGGAGGTCGTCTTAGGCCGGCCGAGGAGCTCCGGGGGGCCCAGGAGCTCCCAAGACTTTCCGGGAAATCCCCGGAGCGGCCGGGAAAACGGCGGTCCCGCCCCCTCGAACCTTACAAACCCTGTACCTCTCAGGGCTGCAGGGCTGCATGAGCTTTAGGGCATACCACCACGTGCTGAGGGCACGGTGGCGGATCCCCAGGGGGCGTCACGCGCATCCGAAGTCGTATAATCAGTCGTGTAATTACTCAGAATCTGGTGCCAGAGATCTTAGCACGCCTTCGAATTTCCAGGCTGCTTTCGGCATGCCTTTGGCTTGTCTTCTGGCTGGCCTTTCTTTCGAGTGCATGCCTGTAGCTGACAGCCAGCTCGTGCCGAACCTACATGCGTGCGCTTGACTTGTTGCATTGCATGTGTACGTTGTTTTTGCTTGCCTTCAGCTTGCTTCTACCTTTTATCGGCGCCTCTTTTTCAGAAGACGGAAGCCCAAGACTGGTTGCGTCGTGATTACGTTGTTCTCCAGAGGCTTCTCGGATGCTTTTTGAAGGCCTTTGCGGTTTGTTCTCCCTCACCCCCCTCTCCTCTTCCTCCCTCCTGAACTCCTCCCCCTCCTTTGCTCCTCAATCTTCGCGTTCCCTGCTTGGTGCAATTCGGGCGGTACGTTTTGCCTCAGTCTCCCTTGGCTGCCCCGCTGCCGAGCTAGTCTACACTCGGGGGAGTGTCACTTTGGAGTGCTTCGCTGAGGTTCAACTAGAGTGACACGCAGCCGAGTTATGCAACTTGGCTGCATAGCTCGGCTGCGTTTTCTCGGGCTGGTTTTTGCTTGGGTACGAGCGGTGCAAGGCATAGCATAGCAATGCGACTCGAATGTTCGCCGCATGAGGCAGTTGAACCGCCATGCAGTGAGTTTCGCTGGAGCCCTCACGCAGTGTGGTTCCGCATTGTGGCATGGAGGCTGCCTGTCTCCTTGGCAATGTAAGGTTGCTTCCCATGCGGCGGTCGATCAGTTTTCGTCGTCTTGCCGGGAGCTGCCAGGCGAAAGGAATGACGGGGATGAGCAAGAGGAGGGGCCAGGAAAGCCGTCGTAGGTTCGGCTGAGATGCGCGGAGCTGGAACACACGTGGTGAGTGAAAGGTGTGGAGCCGGACAAGCGCAACGTGGTCGCTCTGCAACATCTTGCTCGACGCAGTGGCTTTTCACAGGTGCCAGGTGCGCGCGCTCATGGCCCCCCGCCCCTGCCCTGACGCCGCTGCGGAGCGCCCATGGCAAGCGAGGAACATCATTTGAACCAGTCATTTGAACAGTCAGCTTCGCACAGCCCGGCCACCGCGGACGCCCGCAGAGCTCCCGATAGGGGACCCTCTCTGGAGGACGAGCTGCTGCTCCGCAGTGCCGAGGCCGATGCCTCTCGGAGGATGCCCGCGACCGTGGGAGGGGCTGTGGCCGCCGTGCTGCTCCTGGTCGGGACCGCGGAGTGCGGCCACATCCGTGCTGGCTTGAGCAACGCCGGGGCCCGCAGCAGGCTTTCGGAGGAGATCCCTTCGACGCTGCTGGCCCGAGGTGCGAGGGAACCACGGTGGCCGGGTGTTTGCAATCAAGCGGGGCTCGGGGCTCAAGCGACGGGGGTCGATGCAAGCGGGGGTCAGTCAGAGCGCCGGATCTTGCAGGATCCTGCAGGGCCGGGGTTGCACTGGCCCGGGCTTGGGTGCATGATGCAATGATCCTGCAGGATATTGCAGGATTGTGCTGGATCCTGCAAGGCCTGACTGACCTAGATCTGGATTGACCCGGGTCAGCAGATCCCCGAGGGACTGGGTTAATGGAGCTGCTGCCGGCGTCGCCACGAACCGCTGTCGCTGCCGCTGCTGCTGCTGCGACAGCCGTTGCGGCTGTGCATCGCCGCTGCCGCTGCTGCCTCCGTTGCCTCTGCTCCCCGCGTCGTCGCCGTTAAGCTGCTGCTTCTGCCACGCCAACGCCGCTGCCGCTGCTGTTTGGCTCCGCCAGGGGCCGCGCGGCACTGCCGCCGCCACTGCCGCGACTGCTGCGTCTGCTGCCATTGCTGCCGCCGCTGGCACTGCTGCCGCGCCTCGGTCCGTGGTGCTGGCGTCGTTTGTACATACAGTGCCGACTGGTGCTCTCCTAGCGAATCGGCACCAGCCAGAATATTCGCTGCCCCTTTCGAGGGCGAAACGTTACGATTCCGCAGGCGGTGGCTTGTCGACCACAAGTGCGCCGCGCAGGGAGAGAACTGCAGCCAGTCGCAGTGCTGCCAGCGCTCTGGCATGGCCTGCTACCGGAAGGAACCATTTTTTGTTGTTTGTGGCGTGCCATGTCCAGACCAGCTTGCGAATGCGAGTGTGTGCATGAGTCCGCCAAACGACGGTTTGCGTTTTTTCGTGTGTGTGTGTGTGAAGGTGGTTTGCTGGACCATTCGAGTGCTTATAGCGGCGGCCACTCCAGGGCATTCAAGACCTTGGAGGTATGGAGTGTGGAGGAGTGTATGGTTGTGTTGCTGCAATTTCCAGAGCCAGGCCACACCACGTGTTCCGCAGTTCACACGTTACTGGGACCTGCAGGCCTACATGCTTGTACAATGTTGGCAGTCTATCTGATCGATTCGTGGGATTCTCCCATACCTGTTCTTCGTGTCTCCATATCCGCTGCTCCACGCCCCTGCTTCCACAGCGACAGAGTCGCGGCTTCCAATTCGTCGTCCGCAGTCGCTGGGTCTGGCGCTTTTGCTTGTGCTGTCGGTGCAGGTCCTGCTGATTATTGCCTTTGGTGGCTCACAGAAGTGTGGGGCGCGGGGGGCGGCTTTCGAAGAAGGCATGGTGCTCCTTAGGAGAGATCGGAGGCTTCTACGAAGGCTTCTAGGAAGGTGAGTGGGGGTTCTAATGAGCCCCCCTGCCTTCTCAACAAGCCCACTTCTGTTCGCGTATACATAGATGCATGTACGTATGTGTCTCTGTTGCGAGAAAGTGGCGGTGAGAAGGTATGCATGTACGTATGGGTGTGAGAAGGTGGCGGTTGCGAGAACACGCGTGTGAGAAGGCGAGGAGGTCCGCGGCAGCCCGCACAGGGCGCGCTTCTGCGCACGCCGCACCTGACCTGACCTGGGCTGACGTGTGTGTGTGTGTGTGTGTGTGTGTGTGTGTGTGTGTGTGTGTGAACGTATCTATGTGTGTATTTTATGTGCATATACACAAATTTATACTTATACATGTATATATATATATGTATCATCATCGTCATCATCATCATCATCATCATCATCCACTGCCGATACGGCGCGTGCGACGAAGTTTTGATGCTGCGTCTGCATGTGTCACCAGTACTGTAGATACAGTAGCCCGTGGAATTTCTGCACATTGTTTCCCGACGCTTCCTTGCCGAACGCCTCGCGCTCGCTGTGCCCTCGTGCCGGGGTCTGCTTCTGGCTCCCGCAGCGGCGGCCACGGGTCCAGCGCCGTGCCGCACACGCCGGGCCCCCGCGGGACATGGCGTGGCCCCTGCGACTTGCGTTAAGTCGGGCACGTCTTTCTACAGGAGGAATATCCAAACATAGTTTAAGAATAGTCAGGGGACGATTTGTCGACTATTTGTGGATATTCTTTGGTATATGTTTTGACAAGTTGTGTGTGTCGTCGGAAACCCGCCTGCAGGAGGACATGCCCGACACAAAAGTTGCGCGAGCGAGGCGGGGCGCGGGGCGTCTCTGCTTGGGGTCGGGTCTTCCTCGTCGCCCCTCGCAAGTCAAGCTCGCGGCCCACGCCGCGCCCCCCCTTTACCGCGCCAGGGGGCACGACGGCGCAAGAGAAGCAGCGAAGCCTGGGGCGCCGCCGCGATCCAGAGAGGGCGTACGAGGGCGACCGCTCCGCGTGCGCAGCCACTGCGGGAGCGGGCAGAGGCATGGGGCAGAGGCACGCGAAGCAGGGCAGCACCAACGTACGCGAAAAAAACATCGTGCGCGCCATGGGTCCCACGGCAGGAGGAGGCGGAGGCGGAGAAGGAGGAGGCGGACGAGGAGGAGGAGGAGGAGGAGGAGGAGGCGGAGGAGGAGGAGGCGGAGGAGGAGTCGGAGCTCGATCCTCGCTCTGCGCAGAAACGCCCAGTCAGAACGGCAACACGACGTCGCAAACAAACACAAATCATGCAGGCAGAACGGCTGTGAGACACGCGCGCGCGCGGACACCCTCGGATGCACCGTGGGCGGACAGCCATACGGGCGGGTTCGTGTGGTGAGTGAACGGCTGGACGGGCGGTGACAAGCAAACCGATGGAGGAGGGATGGGATGGGATTGGATTAGATTGGGTGATTTTGTGATGCTGATGATGATGGTGATGATGATGGTGATCTTGTGATGATGATGATGATGATGATGATGATGATGATGATGATGATGATGATGATGATGATGATGATGGTGATGGTGATGGTGATGATGATGATGATGATGCTGATGCTGATGCTGATGCTGATGATGATGATGATGCTGATGCTGATGCTGATGATGATGATGATGATGATGATGATGATGATGATGATGATGATGATGATGATGATACTGATGATGCTGACGAGGATGACGACGATGATGATGCTGCTGATGTTGATGATGTTGGTGTTGATGTTGATGCTGTTGATGATGGTGGTCATGATGGCGAGGATAATTGTGGTGGTGCTGCGGATGATGGTAATGATGATGCTGGTCAGAGGGACGACGACGATGACGAGTATGACGCTGGTGACGAATAGTATGCTGATGCTGATGCTGGTTGTTGATGATCATGATGGTGGTGGTGGTGGTGGTGATGATGATGATGATGATGATGATGATGATGTTGCTGATTTTTGATGATGAAGATGATGATGGTGTCGGTGCTGAACATCGTGACTGTGATGCTGACGATGTGTGACCGGGTGAATGAATGAATGGCTGCATTTGCTGGTGATCACGTCCCGGCGCGCCCCAGCTCGCATGCTCCCGCACGCAGCGCGCTACAGTATGCGGCCGGGGAGGCGCGCCTGCTTGCAAGACCAATCGGGCTGTGCGGGGGGGTCTCCTTCGGGGGGGGCACGCTGCACTGCAATAGCATGCCCACCGCGTGCACCGCGAACTTCGTGACACGCGAGGCTACCATTGGCGGGGCGGCTGCGAGTAGGTGGGGGCGACGGAGAGCCGGGTGTGAATCTCCAAGACGCTGCGCGTGCAACGGTACGCAGCAGTAAGAGGGCGAAGGGCGAGCAGCGAACTGCATCAGGCGCAGCAGCAGCAGCAGCACCCCAGCGGCAAGCTGGATGGAAGGAGAGTCTCAGCAAGCGCCTGGGCACCAACATGCGCAAGCAACGCCGCCGCCGTCGTTTTTTGTGCAAGGGTCGATACAACAAACATGTATCCGTTGCCGCCTGAGGAGCTCCGGCTGCGCTCGTAAATTAATCGCGTCTGTTGCGAATTCCGTCCTTCCTCACATGCGCCCGCGGGTGTGCTTTGGGTGGTTTTGGGACGTAGGGGGCGGAGGACATGGGGACGACAAGGGCGAAAGGAAGAGGCACGGGAAGACGGCGCAGGGGTAGCGATGCCTGGGGGGGGGGGGGGGCGAGGGAGGCACGAGAGGGTGGGGCGGAGGCGGAAAGCGGGACAGGAACGGTGACGGGGTGCGGGAGTAAAAGGATGGGATGACATGGGGGGCGTCGTGCCCGTAGCTGTTTTGTCGGTTTGACGGCTTGGGCGCTGTGGTGCTGGTGATTTCCGTTGTGCTCGTCATGGCCGTCGTCGAACTCGCTTGCTAAATTGTGGTGGTCCGAGTCGCGTTGTTCGTTCAGGGAGGAGCGGTTGTGGCATTCATTCACTGGTAGTGGTGCCTGTCGTGGCGCCGTGGGCTCTAGTCTGCTGCTGGTGGTGCCGCTGTCCCCCGTCGTTCCTGGTGCGCCTTTCCCAGCGGTCGTGTGTTGAGTTGGGTCCGCATTTTGATGAGGGCGCCTCGCGTTTTTCATCTGCTCCCGCACCCCCCTCCCACCCCCTTCCAGCTCATGCTGCTGCCCCCCCCTGTCCATTTCACGCGCCACTCGCGCGTTTCTGTGGCCCTCCTGGGAGCTCCACCGACTGCTCTGGTGGCGAAGTCCCCTGGCGGCGCCGCTTCATGTCGTCGGACACCCTTCCTGCGCCCACAGTGCGATCCGTACCGTTGGCCACCAGTCCGAGGCTCGCCGCTGAGCGGACTCGCCGGTGCTGCCGGCATGCCGTCCCTGACCTGGACCTCGAGTGGCCCAGGCAGCCCGACGGCCCCCCGCGGCCATCTGCGACGGGGCCATCCACGCCACGCCGTCGGCACCGGCGTTGCCTGGGGGGGCAGGTGCCTGGGCGCGTGGTGTCGCTCGCGCTGGAGACTGCCCGCCGCGGGCCCCCTCGGCGCCCCCGCGCGCCTCCAGAGCGACGCTGGCGAGGCGGGGCGCAGGGCGCCGCCGTCTAAGATGGGGTTCTTGCGCCTCCCTTCGTTCGGCTTTTTGGTGTTAGCGAAGCGAGCTCGCAGCCCACGCCGACCCTCCCTCCCTCGCCCCCCCGCCCTCCCGCGACTCCGTGCGACGGCGCCTGCGGTCAAAATGTGTCCCCCCCCTCCCCTGCTGGAGCGAGGCGGCAGGGTGATGGCCCCGCGCCCGCGGCCAGCGGAAGAGCAAGGCCTGCAATGCAAATGGGCAACCTCGAAACAGCAATCCTCGTAGACGCCAGGCTCCCAGGGCAAACGTGCCAGAGACAGCGCGGCACAGCAACGGCCAAGCACGCCTGGGCACGGCGCACCTTGGGCACGCCCGAGCGAGGCAAGGTGGGGTAGCGGCACAGCATGGCAACAAAGCAAGACACTCCGATGCCAGAAGGAGGCGGAAGCGCGGGGCGAAGGGAATACTTGCTAGCACACCGAGAAACAGTGTCAACCGCGAGCGATGTGATACAGAGATGCACTTCAAGAGCTACGGCAGGGGTCAACGCTCCGACGGGCACTCACAAGCAGGGCGCCAGGACAAGGCAGGTAGGGAGGTACTGACAAGTCCGTGCGCTTCCAGGCTACCTTGTGTAGGACCGCACGAGAAGGGGTAACACAGGTCCCCTTAGCGCCACCACTGCGAGGCAGAACAGTGCACGCCGGGCGGAGGATGGAGGACGCAGGCGGGCCCAAGCGAAGGTAGCAGCAAGTGGGCTGGTACAGGCACACGGGCCGCGCAACGGCTGCCAGCTAGAATTTTGCCCAGAGCGAGCGCCAGGGGACGCATCACCACAGGCAGGCTTAAGCAAGCAAGCGGACC